TGCAAAACCCCATTTTTTGTGAATATAGTACCTTCCAAACATTCTACATTTTATTACAACTGCAGAATTTGCAAATATTAACAACTTATATTTCTCTCTTTATTACATCCTTTAATCTCTTCATTTATTGTACTCGTATTTGTGTGTATTAAGCGTACACATACAAAATTAAATCTAATTCAATGTTAAGAATTTATTTTTACATTAAATTCTCAATAATTTCATAAAATATTTAAGTTTTTTAAAAACAAGTTTAAAATTTCCTATCGAAAGGGTTATTTAAGTAAAAAAAAAACCGGTTTTTGGTAATGTATTTACATTATATGTATAGAGTTATGACATACTTAAATTGTGATCGATAAAACCGAAGTAGAACGTTTCACTTTAAACATTTTGAGTCAAAAGCTAACACTTGCAATTAAAAGGTTTTAAATAACAAAATGTTCTATTCCAATTATTTACCTAAAACTAAGCTTTTTTTGCATAAATTTAGGAGGAATATGAAAGAAATAATTTTAAAAGAACAATATTAATACCTGTACAAAACTTAAAAAGAATTTGGTCTGGCAGTCAAACTAAAATGGTTTTTCACATATAATCGGAACGGAGCTATGTAGATGTAAATTGAATACATTTAGGGATTACTTTCTCTCACTAGAACTTCAAACAGTCTTTGCAGAAGTACATATAGAGTTTAGGTTAATTTGGCATCAATTATCAATATTTTGTGAGGAATTTCGAATTCACGATTTCGATTTTCAATAACAATTTCCTTTTAGACTATGTGTATAAATATTTAAAGCTTGCTTTTTTCAATACACATCTTAAACTTACTGCCTAACTTAGTCATACTTATATGAAAATAAAAATTAATTGTAATTTTCCTATAGAACGACATTCTTACGTACATAGCATATACGAGTATGCATACTAAATTCAAATTATATATTGAAATTATTATATTGAACATACACTTATACTATCAATTCATTCACATGTTTTTATACACAACCACATACGTACATGTATAAAATGCAGATTTATTATTATGATACCCATTATCAATATTTCGGTGAAGGACAAGGTCAAATTTCAGGCTTTTTTTGTTGATATCATGACTTCATTTTTACATATGCACATACATATATGTATGTATGTAATTTCATGTAAACAACTATAGGTGGTGTATGTATATATGTGTTATACACATTAAAAAAACAAGCATCATAATATAAATAAACAAAAAATAACGTTATTCATTCCGTTTTTTTTTTGTTTCTGTACTATATTCCTACAAACATACATCATGAGTATTTAATTTTTTAAAATGGAGTCTGGTCGTGAATTGTTTACAAAATTTTTTTTTGTTCTTATTCTCTTAATAATGCTATGCTTTATATTTTATTATAATCATTTAGATTGGAGATTGATATATAGAATGTATTATACTTATATTGCATATAATGCATGAAGTTTGAAACGAAATGGAAAGTGAAACTAAAATAATATAGAAGGCGCTGATGCATTCACTCATTTCATTAAGCAAACTCGTTTCTCGACGCAGAGGCCGCCATCATTTGTTATTTTGTTTTTTGATATCTACTTTGTGCTTCTTCGAATAGTTAGGTAAAAAATTACATTTTATAGAAATCGAATAATATGGTATAGGAAAAAAGTACAGTTGAGAGTTCTATTCAAAACATTGTTGAAGAGTAGAAAATAAGAAAAAAAAAAGGACGCCAGATAATCTTTATATGTAAGTACTTTATTTTGTGTGTATGGCAATTTTATTCTACGGTTTTGTACCAAATATATTGTGTTATACAAGTATTGGTATATGTACAGCTGGAAATTCAACGCTACTCGATATTATTACGTAGGTATATAATAAAAATGTGAATGAATGAATGAAATGCAAATTCAAGGGCATCTGTTCCATAATAACGGAATGCGAGGTAAAAATGGGGTTATAAAAAAAAAAAAATATATATCAAAAAGTTTTTGTTTTTGTTTGTAGTATTTTTTAAATAAAGTTGTATTTTTATTTTTTAACCTTGAAATTTGTTATAAAATAGTAAAGTTATAAAAAAAGAAACAAAAAATTGTTTGTTTTTAAGTGAATTGCTTATATGTGTGTGTAGGTATGTATGATAATATTATGGAGTATTTACTATATACATATATAAATATTGTAAGGCATTAAAAAATTGCAGTTATGTATGCATTTACGTCCATTATGCGAAAATAATAAAAGTATTTGTTTTTAGGATATTTTCTTTAACGAAACGTGAAGCTTAATCAAAATCAGCCTTATGACGAAGCAGAAAACCACACATTCATTAATAGACCATTCATACTAAATAACAATCGATTTTGTAATTTAAAATATATAGCGTTTTTTCAACATAAAACAACGCAAGCTGTTTTCAAAAGGGTTTCAACTCGATTCCCAATAATAGCCTATCTATACGATACCGGGAATAAATTTTTCTTCTATAATTTTAGACGATGGGTATTCTAAAAGAGCCAAGATTATGAAAGTCAACCGAAGATTGAATGTATAAAATAACAATTTATTTTTTATTATAGGAACTTTATGGTTTTATGGTATTCGATTCTTCAGAACTCTCTTATTCAAAAAAGTTATTAAAAAAGGTGATTAAAATTATGAGACATAATTTATATAAGAGATTAGAAATGATAAAATGTGATTTTTTTAAATAATATTATATATATGTACTATAAGAATTAAAATATTTATTGTGAAACAACATTGTACATATGTACATATATACATGAGTAAATTAATATGTTATTGTCCATGTATACTTGTGTTATCCTTGTGTAATTTATTTTGAAATTTAAAATTCCTTGAAATCTTGTAAGGAAATTACTGTATTACAAATTCATATGAGTATACATATTTTAAATATATTGTTATACTGACACATTTAAGTATATGTATGTATATTTACTCATCAAGTTATCATCAAGGATATTAAAAAGTTAATATCAACAATGAATAAAAGAAAAACACAAAATAATTCAATTCCTCTCTCTATATATATATATATATTTTAAACAGTGCAGGTGAGGTGACAAAGAAATAAATACAAAGAAACGGAAAGTAATTGCTATAATGTTGCAAAAAGCAAAAATATTACTCTTTACTGTTATACACAAGACATTTTTCCCAGATATAAATTCACCTTTAATTATTGTCAATACCATATAAAAACTGATATGAAGTAAAAATAAATATTTTATTGGCAAACAAATATTTATGGAAAATTAGAGTGAAAAGGAGCTCTATTTCCTTTTCATTAATAATAGAGTAATTTTAAAACTTTTTAAAATGCAAGAAGAATAAAAATTTGTAATAACTTACAAGTTATTGTCAGTTCGTTTGAATGATCTTCTCAAAATTATAGTACGCATGTCATTCAAAAATTAAATTTCGATTTCCATGAACATGAACTGAGGCTTCCCAATTTACTTTATTAATATAACACAATTTGATTTAATATAACACAATTTAATATAGGCTTTGCTCTTGTACTTTGGTCAAATTTAATAAATCTTCACTCAAATAGATTTTTGAATGTTGAGAAACCACTAGGCAGTAAATACAACAAAAGAAATTTTGCCCATTTCTATAAATAGGCAAAATTTTCCGAATTTATAATATACTGTATATATAAAATGAATTAAAATGAGTCAGAGTATTGCTACAGCAGAGCAACCGGCCAATTTTTTTTTTTTTTGAAAATTTGGCAAAGAATTGTGTATACAAAATTATATTTAAAAATATTTTTATATGTAAAATTTAAAATTTACTTACCTGCCACAACAATTTTCTAAAATTAAAATCACTTTTCTCTTTAAAATTCACACAAATCGCAATTTATAACACACAAATTTGTTCTAATTTAAAATTTATAAAAAAAAAAAAATAGAGACGAAAATTTTATTTTTCTCAAAAATTTCACGAAATGTGACTTTTTACACGATTTTAAATTAGTTTTTATTAACAAAAGTGTTTTTCTTTTAAATCCGTAATGAATTTTATAATAAAATTTAATTTATTTCAGTAAATTATAATTAATATTGCTAAAATATATTACGAAAAATAATTATTTTAATATTCAAGCATAATATAGGCACATTTTGAATATTTTTTGGTATCACAAAGTGAATAAAATTTAAATTGTATACTTTACTAAATAAAACATAAATAATTTTTTTCTTTCATAGTATTGCCGTTTAATTCCAAAAATATAATTGCTTTAATATTCAAAAATGAAACTGTAACAACTCTATACTTGTACCACTTAAAAGCAATAATGCCTTCAATATTTCAATGAGTTTAAACTTATAAAATTTGACATAAGTATGTATATTTAAGAGTAACGGTATTAAATATCGTGAAGTTTCTATCTAGTGAACACTATGTAGTTTGTACTATGAAAAATTCTATTTAGCTAAATAATTTGTGAATAATTTGTTTTCAGACCAACAAAAGTTAACCGATTTTAAGCATTTAGTATATAAAATAGAAATTCAATGAAACATTGAGAATGAAACACTGAAAATGAAACATTGAAAATAACTTTTAAAACATTAATCGCCAAATTTCTAATGAAATTTTTATTCATTTCAATATTGTTCTTTATTATTATTGAATTTGAGAGAGTTCTTATTAAAAGGATACTCAAAAGACGGGCTACAAATTCAAGAATAAATTAAAATTTTCGAGAATTATGAATTTAGAACTATTTTGAATAATTATGAAAATTAAATCACTTTCCAATTAAAAGAAGAAAATTAATTCATATTGAAGTCGAATATTCTCTAAAATTTACTCAGACGTTCTCAGCTAGAGTATAACATTATGTTTAAATTTGAAAACATTTTAAATATTTAGAAATAAAATAAAGAGGTACTTGCAAAAATTTTAATTTAAAAATAAAAAAATATAGCTAAAATTTTAAAAGACTTACTTTGAGCGGCAAGTAATTGTTGATGTGCAGCAGCTCTCTAAAATAAAAAAAAAATAGAATTAAAATTATAATTATAGAAATAATTGAATTATTATTTTGCGAAGGTGTTCAAAATAAACTGAAAATTTTGTTAATTTTGTTATTTATTATAAATTCAGTAAAATTACAATTTATAGTCGGAATTTTTATCGACTAAAGTCAAATATTGCCGAAAATTATTAAAAACGATTTATAGGCGTAAATTTTAAATTTATATTAATTTAGTTTTGGTTAATGAAGTCAAAAACAATCTATTTCTGAAAAATTTGACTGGGTCGTAAAACTGGGGTATATAACATAATTTTAGGAGTTCTCTCATATTATTCCTGTAGTATTAACCTTAGATATGCTATGGTGTGTATATAAACGCCCTACAAGATATGAGCACTGTATATTATTATAATATTCTTGTACTTGACTAAACACGTGTTTGTATATATATATATAACCTCATATAAATAAACACACTCATGCAGAAGTTCTCAATATTTTGCAATTGACCATAAACATCCATAGAACCTTTTGCAAATGTTTTTCATTTTATAATTAATTTTCTCATTTTAATTACTTTACGATAATGAAAATAAATAATTTTGCATGTATAAGTATACGATATACATGCATAAATATATAGAATCATAAATTCATTATCCTTGAAATTATCGTATTTTATCACTATCTTTTATACTATAAAAAAAAATTCTTCTTAAAGTAAATTTTTTTTCGACTATATTTTTATTTTTGCGGTTTAATTTTGCATTGCTCTATTTATATATTTCGGGATTCTTATATACGAATAAGTACGAATATTATAGGCATTTAGTATAAGGTATATTTTCAGTTATACATATATTAAGTCAAAGGAAGCAAATAAAGTAAATGATTCAACGAATCAACTGTGATTTGTGGCACGTTTACATTTAATCAGAATTTTACAGACGGAAATAAAATGTACGTGCTGAAATACAAGGATTTCAATGACATTTTAATCAATTAATATTTTTATTATATACGTTTGCATATTCGAAAGCGTTACAATTATATTATTATTGAATTGAAGAAAATTGACTCATTGCTAAAATCAATGATTTGGATTTTTTGGAAAAATTTGTGGAATGGTCGAGCAACGATAATGCGTGTGTCTCGAATATTATGTATGTGTCAGTTATTGCCCTTGATATTGAATATTATTTTCACTTAAAAATTAACCCTGAGCTACTGAAAATATTAAATTGGATATAAAAATATAATTTGTATTTTGTGTGCTGTGTTAGCAGTCTTTTAATTAGTAAAAGTAATTTTACTTCACTAAAGCTTAAACAAATAGTTGGAACGGGATCCTAATTAATTTTCAACTAATTATTTACCTATAAGTATCTTTTATTTTATATTAGTATCTTAATTTTATTACAATTAACATTACAATTTTACGATATCAAGATTTTCTTTTAGATTTCATTTCGTCTTACGTCGTCCCATTTCCGCTTACATAAAATTTATTGTCTTTTTTTTTTTTGTGTACCCTGATAAGCGTTTTGTTGTTTTTTAATTAAAAGGCTTTCTAATTTTATCCAAAAAAAAAAAAAAATTATCATTAATAAAATACAAAAAAAATTTTTTATCCATTCTTGTTTTCTAATTTTGCTGTTTTTAGAAGTTTTACTAAAAATTAAACCCAGTTAACCTTGACTGACTAAAAAATGGTTAAGTTCAAACACACACCCACAGAAGAAGAAAATTAAAAACGAAAATAAATAAAGCAAAAAAAACATAGAAAACAAAAAAACAAACTAAAAATATTTAAAGAAAATTAACAGAGACTAGAAAATAAAAAACGAAAAAATAAGACGAAAAAACGCAGCTTTCGACATAAGAATTCGGTCTTTAAACTACAAATATATATATATATGTATATATATTAATGCCCATAAATAAAGAGATTGCTGTCAACATGTTAAGAATACGAAAAAGTAAAAAATATTGAAATAATGAAAAAAAATTTTTAGAATTGTTCACAATAATTATAGGGTGTTTTCGAATATTTACTGAATTTATGACGTTTTCATTTGTGAGAATGGAAATTTCAGAATAGTGAAAATTGTAAAGAAATTTTATTAGTGGATTAAAGATCAAACCTATATTGAAGCTTATTCTAAGTATCAAACCATTAGGTGATAGTAATAATTATCGTAAAATTTTCGATATTATTATTATAAACACAAACCAATTTATAGTAATGATTCGTATTTGAAACTTTTTCGATAAATATCACTATTGCTAAATAATTCAATGCTCTGAAAAAGACCCATTGCGTGGATTTTAACTTTCAATCATCCAAATTATGCTTTTATTTTCGTAACTAGTTAGAACTCTGAACTTCGTTGCTTTTGCAATACTAAAATTTCCAAAGAGTTCAACGATACCTAGAGAACAAAGGAAAATTAAGAGCTTATTTGGCGAGTTTGCACATTTTGAACAGTTGAGCAAAAGACTATGAATTTTCGCCGATTGAATAAGTAAGTATAAACGGAATAATAAAATTTCTACATCCACTTGGAAATACTTTTTAGCAAAACGAATTAAATTAAAAGAATGAAAAAACAAATAAAAAAAATAAGTACAAATTTACTTTTGCGCAAAAAAAAAAAGGCGAAAGATGAGGTAATCCAACTATTTTCTAAAACTAAAATACAAAAACAAACAAAAAAGGAAATTAAAAATAAGAAAAGAAATTTTTTTTAATTTTTAGAGAAAAAAAAATTTTAATAATGTTGATTAACATTGAATAGCACACAAAACAGACACATTGGTTTTCTACTATTGTGATAGTACGCCGCATATCGCCACCACATTGAATTTGTATGAGAACAAAAAAAAAAAACAAATTGTGAATTAAATTGTCTCTAACAATTAATAATGGTCATGAGAATTAACACATTGTATTTGTTTTTCTATTTATGTAAAACAAGACATTAAAATTTTGCCATTTGAAAAATTATGTGAAGCAAAAATTATACAATTACCACGTGGATGAAAAAAAATCTAATACGCAATATTATTGTGAATAAATTTTTTTATGTTTTGATCGTTGGAAATTTTAGAAGAGTTGACAGGAATATGAGGCAAATAAATTCATTTTAAATTTTATTAAGAGTAGGTACTCTTTGAGAATGCCAAATTGCATGATGACTTTGTCATGTCTTTCCAGGTCATATGTCAATTGTTATAGATAAAAATGCTACTGAGTTTTTGATTTTTGTCGGATTACAGTAATTATTTGACGTTTTCAAAAAATACTGCGTTTCTCGTATTGGGTGAAATTAATATTGCCTAGAATAATTATCGAATAAAACAATAAAAAATAATAAAAATTTACATTTTGTATTATTAAATTTTGTTGGAAGACATTGTGTACTGATAAAGTTTGAATAGCTGCTTGATTACTATTATTATGATTATTATTCGGTAATCCTTGATTTTGTTGAAGAATTAAACGTACACCAGTTCTTTCTAATGCTTGAACATCAAGTGATTGTGAACGACCTCTTTGACGTGACGGATCTATATGATGAGATTTATTTGATATCGATGAGGTTTGACCACGTATCCATTTTTTCACAGCCGACATTTTTATTTAATAATTTTGATTTTTTTTTTTTTTAATTAAATATTATATTCACTTCGTTATATATTAATATACACGTATATATATTCATACATATATTTTGTTTAAATAATTAAGTGTTATAAAAAGTTCACTATTTTTATTGTATTTTTTATGATTTAATCAACTTTCTTTGTTTCAACTTATTTAAAAATATTTAAAAAATTATATTAAAATTTAAAAATACCGTTATTATTGTCACATTTTATTTTTAAAAAATTTGAAATTGAACGGGAAATCTAAGTTAACTAAAAAAAAAAATAAGAACAAATTTTATTTTTCAACTTTTTTCAAACTTTGTTCTTTAATAAAATAAATTTAACTCAACTATCGCAATATAGATGGCGGGGTAATCGCTTAAAATTATTTTTTGCTTTTTGTCTTATTCGAAAAGCTTTTTTAAACTTTTATTGTTTTCCTTTCTTTTTGTTATATTTGTTTTTTTTTGTTTTTGTTGTTGTAGAGCTACCTACTTGTTGATAAAATAATATGAGAAATGAGCACGTGCTTTTATTGTAAGTATGTTGGTGTAATTGTTTGCGTTATTTATTGATTATCATTTTTGTTTTGTTATTGTTTCATTCGTGTACACTTGCTTTCGCTTAATTGTAAATGCAGTAAAATAACTATGAATGAGCAAAAATATTTTAATTTTTCTTTTGTATATGAAATATTTTTGAATTAAGCTTTTAATATTTTTGAATACTCATTTTGTTAGCTAAAATATTGTTCAATTGTAATTGAATATTTCATATTGACCTGTATTTGATTTTTGATTGTAATTCTATACATGAATCTTATAAAATTTATAGGTAGTCTATGTAGTAAGATGAGATCACATTGTAGCTCTTATGATGCTGAAAATATTTATGATTCTCTTTTATTTTAATTTATTTAATTCGAATAACATTTTTCATCATATTATTTAAGACAACAATTAAAATAACGAAAACAAAATTTTTTTATTTAAATTTTGTCACGCATTTTTTATTTCTCTGGTTTTCTTATTTTGCTTTTGATTACTTTTTTTACTATACTTATAATTTTGATGGCAGAACAATAATTTCCAAATAACATAAAATTTATTTTATTTTAATTTTGTTGGTTATTCTTTCGGAATGTAAAAAATTACACGTGATTTTATGTTTCAACTAAATTCACCAATTTATTTATTTAAGGCGGGAATTAATATTACAGATATCATTTAATATGGTGGTTAATTCTATAACAATGGTGAACATTAAGTAATTCGCTAAGAAATATGGGTTAAGTGTTTAAAATTATTACCAAAAGCAATTTAGTAATAATTTCAAAAACAAAACCTTTTATAATTT